CCTCAAATTTTGGATGCCATGATTCGAGAGGCCGTCATGTTGGAGGATCGGTCCTATGAGGGTTTTTAGGTGTCGGCCGATATCCACGATTTTCTGGAGGGGCTCGAGTCAGGTGCCTCGGAGGAGGTTACTGGTTTCGGTGGAATGCCGGTACCCAAAAAAGCGTCGTGGTCGGGTTCCACCGAGCCTTCATCGATTCATAAACTGGTGGACCGATTTCCGGCCCCGAGTATCGATCCCGATCGAAGGCGGAAGATAGTGCTCTCCGTACCTGCGGATAGCCGAATTTTTTCTTCCCTGTAGGGATTGCCAGTTACCTTCGGTCCTTGGTGACCGAAGAAGATCAATCAGTGATGAATGCGGTGGGGCCCGCCTGTCTTTTCAATGAGGCCCAACATGCTTTGAATCGGGTAACTCTGATGGCGTTTTCGCCGCTTCTTTTACACATAGTTGCAAGTAATTTTAATGTTTCTCCTTTTGTTTGCAGGCTTCGTTGTTGCATCACGAGGCCTTTCTTCGAATCAGGAAGGAGCATGATGCCGAGGTTCGGAGCCTCACTGAGAAGAGTGACTCGTACAGGCTTCTTAGTGAATAACTTTGAGCAGATTTGACAGCGGCTCGGGAAGAGCATGAGGAGATGGCTGAGCAGGTATTCAGCATGTTCCATGATAGTGAATATGAAAAAGAGATAACCACTAACGATCCGGTTCTGCAGGTGCGGCAGAGGATCGAGCAGATTGGACGACATAACTCACAGGTAGATGCGCTGATGGCCGAGGCAGAAGAATATAAAAAGTGTATGGATAACCTTGTCTCGAAAAAGGAAGTTGTCGAAGCTCAGTTGGAGCTATCAGATGCCCAACTTCGATCTGTGAAAGAAAATGTTTTGGGGCTGATTGAAAAGATGAAAGAGCTTCAGCATCAGTTGGATTTGGCCAGTTTAGATAAAGCAGATTTGGCCAAAGAACTCGAAGTGTCCAGATCTGAAGTAGTCGAGGTCAACAAAAGAGCCGATGCCAAAGTGGCTCAGTTCAGGATCGATGTCGAGGTTAGTCAAACCAAAGCCGCGAGCATGGTCGAACATGCAAAGTGGCAGGCTCGGAGAGAGGCTCTCGAGGAGGTCAGAGCTCAGGGCTTCGATGTTGGGGCCGAGATCGAAGTCGCCAGGGCAGAAGAGAACAAAGCTCGGTGGTTGGCCTTTCTTGAGGAGGACTCCGATGACTCGGGGGAGTCTGAAGACGAGGATGATGCTGAGAATACGGCCTCCGATGAAGATTGAGTCATTTAGGGCCTTAGGTCGATCGTTGCGTTCTTTTGATACCGCTTTCGGCTTTTGTATAAAGAACTTCCCTTTGGAAGAGTAGCCGCCTCTGTACAAAAAAATTATAAATATAAATTTTTCTTCTTTTTGAAGAAAAATAGCCTTTCAAACTGAATAGATTGTTTGAATTTAAATCTCTGTTGCCTTCGGGCCTTGTGGGTAGTCCCCTTCGCTTTATCGAGCTCGAACATCCTTTAGCTTAAATAGTCAAGTGTTCGTTTTAACTCGAAGAAAATGAGTAGTTTTGCTCGAAATCGAAATAAAAGTATCCCGCAGGCTTAGTAATAGAGTAAATGATTCGAACTCGATGCAATGCAGCCCGTAGGCGTAATGATCGAAGTAGCCCGTAGGCTTAGTGGTCGAGTGAGTGCTTGCTCGAACTTAAAGTAAAAGTATCTTATAGGCTTTAGTAGTCGAGTGAATGATTCAAACTCGAAATAATGTAGCCCGTAGGCGTAATGGTCGAGTGAGTGCTTGCTCGAACTCGAAAGAAAAGTAGCCTGTAGGCTTTAGTAGTCGAGTGAGTGATTCGAACTCGAAATAATGTAGCCCGTAGGCGTAATGGCCGAGTGAGTGCTTGCTCGAACTCGAAATAAAAGTAGTCCGTAGGCTTTAGTAGTTGAGTGAATGATTCGAACTCGAAATAATGTAGCCCGTAGGTGTAATGATCGAGTGAGTGCTTGCTCGAACTCGAAATAAAAATAGCCCGTGGGCTTTGTGTTCGAGTGAATGATTCAAACTCGAAATAATGTAGCCCGTAGGCGTAATGGCCGAGTGAGTGCTTGCTCGAACTCGAAATAAAAGTAGCCCGTAGGCTTTAGTAATCGAGTGAATAATTCGAACTCGAAATAATGTAGCCCGTAGGCGCAATGGTCGAGTGAGTGCTTGCTCGAACTCGAAATAAAAGTAGCCCGTAGGCTTTAGTAGTCGAGTGAATGATTCGAACTCGAAATAATGTAGCCCGTAGGCGTAATGGTCGAGTGAGTGCTTGCTCGAACTAGAAATAAAAATAGCCCGTGGGCTTTGTAGTCGAGTAAATGATTCGAACTCGAAATAATGTAGCCCGTAGGCGTAATGGCCGAGTGAGTGCTTGCTCGAACTCGAAATAAAAGTTGCCCGTAGACTTTAGTAGTCGAGTGAATGATTCGAACTCGAAATAATGTAGCCCGTAGGCGTAATGATCGAGTGAGCGCTTGCTCGAACTCGATCCTGTTTGCATAGTAAATCTTGAACATAGAATATCGGTAAAGAAGAGGGCTTTCTTTGCAAATCATTGTACATGGGTTCATGTTTTGCGTCAGGGCTCGGGCCAACTACATAAGCATGGTTCGTTTTGACCATTTGGCTCTTACAACGTTTCCTGTTGAGATGTTGTTTGTCATGAAATAACGAAGTAACTTCCTTTGCACCGAACTTGATAATCATCACAGATGCATTCAATGATAAAGCCCCCTAGTATACGAGGTTGTTTTTAAAGAGGCCTCGGATACTCAGCAGTAGTATCGTTTCCGCTATATGGCTGGTATCGATCTCTGGTCGACTTTTGCTTTTTCGTAACGAACCTAGAAATCAACTGGTCATCTTCGACTCTTATTTTGGATTGATATCGATTGTGCACATCGGTCTAAGTAATGGCTGGGTACTCGATCAGATTTTGCTTCAGTCGCCGTGAGGCCATCGAGCTCCGCTCGTTTAGACCTTGAGTAAAAGCTTGAACAGCCCAATCGTCTGTGACTGGTGGTAGATCCATTCGTTCCATTTGAAAACGAGCTACGAACTCCCTTAGCATCTCGTTATCCCTTTGTATTACCTTGAACAATTCCGACTTTCTGGTTTCGACCTTTATGGCTCCGGCATGTGCTTTTACGAAGCAATCTGCAAGCATAGCAAAAGAATCAATAGAGTTAGATGGTAAATTATGATACCATACCATTGCCCCCTTTGACAGGGTTTCACCGAATTTTTTCAATAATACAGATTCGATCTCGTCATCTTCCAAATCATTGCCCTTGATGGCACACGTGTAAGAAGTGATGTGCTCGTTGGGGTCGGTCGTTCCGTTATATTTGGGTATTTCGGGCATACGGAATTTTTTGGGGATTGGTTTTGGGGCTGCACTCGAGGGAAAAGGCTTTTGAATGATTTTTTTCCAATCTAGCGCTTTCATCATTGGTGGAGATCCCGGGATCTGATCGACCCTAGAATTATATGTTTCTACTTTTTTATCGTTGGCTTCGACTCGTTTTGTGAGTTCCTCGAGCAATTTAGTAATTTTGGGAGTAGTCCCCGATTCTGGCTCGTTTGACTTTACTATAGCTGGTTCCGTTCTGTGGGTGATTTCTCGAAGCGGATTGGGCACCGGCCTGCTTCGTTCCTAAGTTTGGCTCTGCAACTGAGCTATCGCTATTTGCTGGGCTTGTAACATCTCGAAGATCACCCGTAAGTTGACTTCGATCTCCTCCATGTTATGGGTGTCTCGAGCTACGGATCGAGTACCGCCCTGAATGATTTTTCCCGGTTCGGAACGTTGGTTCGCCTCAAGAGCCACTTGTGAATTGAAATCTAACGGCACTTTGACTCGAGCTTCTGTGACATCGTTAATTCGCCTTCCGGCCCTGGGTGTCAAGTCGTTGGTTTCATCTTGAAGGCCGGCTTCGTGGTCGATAGGTATAGCCATCAATCTTGGGTTTGCCATTGTTGATCTGAAGTTGTAAACTGGTGTGTATTGCAGATTTGTATCAAACAACCACTATTACCCTTAGCCCCACGGTGGGCGCCAAACTGTTTACCCGAAAATCGGATAACGTTAGATTTGTGTATGGTTCTAAGGATATGCGATACTATTTGATATAAATCGTGTAGAGAAATGAAAATATGTGTATTCTTAACTATGAGAATGAAAATAGTGAGCAAAAAGAGTGAGTAAAACAAGCACCAGGGATTCTCCTTTTTCTCCTCCCCCCCGTGATCTTTTGTTGCCATCCTTCTTATAGTAGAGGGATCCTACTTTATATGCAATAAAAAATACGTAGTGGAGAGCCCATGATATATTGTCTTTTCTTCGATTTCCGCCAAGATTCTCTCCCATAGTGCGGTTGCAACGGCCCTAATCTGCGAGCTCGATGCTGGCTCGAACTCAGTGTTGGATCGAGCCCTCGGCCTTGGTCCGATCTCGATTCTGACTTGGGGTCTCGGTATTCAAGATGAATATTGGTTGGTCCATGCATCTTCGATAATCTACGCTTTGCCTCATAGTTCGATTTGGATATGGGCTCGATAATGATATCGAGCTTGTCATTTGATCGGTCTTGGAGCTCGAAGTTCGCCGCCCTTACTTCGGATCTTGACTGAGCTTGTCATGCAGATATCCTTTGATCGAAACATTATCGTCTCGATCAGTCTGTACGACTGACTCGAATCGGTTTTGATCGTATACACTGTCATCCATAAAATGCAACCACAAGTAAATCGTGCTGATCTCAAACATACAAATATAACATTATTTCTTTTCCCCTGTGTTGTTCAAGAACTTGTAGATGTTGTAAACGTTGTGGGTAAGTGGACTTCGTTCTTCCCATGGAATATTTTATTCCTTGTTTTTGATGTGTTGGGATC